CAATACACATCTCATGACCAGTTATAGTTCTAGCTGGGATTAACTCATCTTTATCATTTTTTACTACTGCAGTCCCTTCTTTTTTAGGCATTACATGGACTGGTGAGACCCAAATACTGTCTGAATATGATATATTACTCCAGCATCAAGCAATTTTAAGATTTCCTTCTTTACTACTTCTTAAAGATCTGGGTTTAATCTTCTTTGGGGTTCAATTGGAGTTTTAGTTTCATCTTTTATGTGAATTCTATGAGTGCAAAGGCTAGAGTAGATTTTTTTGATATCATCAAGTGAATATCCAATGGATCTCTTAAACCTTTTTAGCTCTTTAACAAAGGATGAGGTCTCTTCATTACTAAGGTTCTCATTAACAATTATAGGGTAAGTAGAATTGGTTCCCAAGAAAACATACCTTAGGCCTTTAGGAAACTCCTTGAGCTCTATCTTTGGTGCTTTCGGATCACTCCAGTCATCCTCAACAGGGCGTTCCTCCTTATTCCCATCTTGTGGATTTTCCAAAGAGTCTTCTTGTTGTACCAAACTGATCTCATGACTCCTGTGATTCAGCTCCATGAAATAGTATTCATAGTCAAGTGTCTTGTGTGAATCCAACATCAAAATGTAGCCTAGACTGTTCTGATGTAAGTACCCATGCTCTGCATTGATCTTTGGTCAAAGCTACTTGGAGAGGATCTTCTAGACTTAGCTCCTCAAAGAGCTCGGTCTCTAATTGGTCCATCACCTCCACACTGAAAACTTGTTCTCTAATTGTACAGGCTATGCTGGACGTGGAGGATCTGTCAGAAGCCAGTTATCCTGCCAGACATGTATATTATTTCCTTGTCCCACCAACCAGCGACTGTCATATATGAGCAAAGACTGACTTTGAATAAGACTGCGCCAAGCATAACTAGATGTAGCATAGCTTTTGGCCTCCAGAAAGGATGTATGCCGAAAATATTTTGCTTTAAATTCTCTAGCCAGTAAAAAATTTGGGCATTGAATTATTTTTCACGCCTGCTCGGCCAATAATGCAATATTGAAATATGACAAATCCTGAATGCTAAGACCTCAATCTCTATTTGATGTAGTGATCTTGTCTCATGCAACCTAAGGAATCTTATGTTGTCCTTTAATTTCTGACCACCAAAATTGACTCATAGCTGAAGTGATTTTATCCAATATTGCTTTTGGCAGCATAAAGCAAGATATAGTATATGTGGGAAGTACTGTAATTACAGCTTTGAGCGAGAGAAAGCGATTATACCAGCTATCAACTTTGTTCTACACTCATTTTATAACATAGAAAAATATATCTTTATGCATTTTACCAATCTGCTCCGGCAGACTTAGATAACTTTCAAGACCTCCTATCTTCTTATTACCAGTCTTGTGTATAGTCATTTGCTTGTGGAGAGTAACTTTGCTAAAAAGTAACAGCTGATTTAGAAAAGTTAATCTCTTAACCTGAAGCTCTATGGTACTTTAAAAGAATATCCAGTAAATTGCCATATTCTGCTTCTGAAGCTCTGCATAATAGAAGAGAATCATCAGCAAAAAAAGAAGATGGAAAAAAAAAGGTCCACTCTGGGACGCTTTATGTCTCTCATATTTGCATCATTTACTGCATTTAGTACATGTTTTAGTCTCTTCTTACATATTTTCCTTATCATTCAATTTTCCTTGCATATGGAATGTTTTTAGGTACCAAGGGAGCTATTGGAGACATGGTTGAAGCATGGGAGTGATCCAGGAAGATGTCCCAGCCAAGGATATTCAAGACAAGCCAAGGGAGTGCATTTCAAAGCTGATGTCGGACTCCATGTCGGGCTTCCAAGTCGATATCTTCCAGCAGGAAGAGAAGAAGTTGATGTCGAGCTCCATGGAGCTTCAAGGGCGACATCCGGGAGACAGGACACTGATGTCGACCAGCATGTCATCTGACATCTTCGAGCAGGAACACCCGAGACCTAATGTCGAGCAAGATGTCGACCAAGGCCATCCTGACATCAAGCAGTAGGGACTTCATGTCGAGCTCCATGTCGATCTCACCAGCCTGACATCTACCTCACCCAGAAGTCCATTAAATTACAAGTTTGTCATTGTACTAGGGTATTATGTCTTTTAGTATAAATAGCTTGAGACCTAAAAATATTAGCAAGTCTTGTTCTTGCTTAAAAACTTGTTTTCTCTTAATTGTGTTTGCTTTGTAAGAAAAAATCTACTTTTTAATCTAAGTTTCTGAACTTATTTCTTTAATCTCTCATCCCTAATCATGTTTAACCCATTGATCTTTGTGGATTTAATGGTTTTCACTATGTTTAGTGAGTAGTTCCTTTGGGAGCTTAGATGTGGTAGATTGGGTGGATTTAATAGCTTGATTAGTGCTTGTTAATGTTTAATATCATTGATTCCTCTCTATTAGACTGTTTATATGCTATATTTATCTGGATCACTTGAATCTAGAATTAGGCTTTCTCTTATGCCCACCAAGTGTTTGATGAAATGTTGATCTTGTCTTTTAGAGGATGTACTTATCTTAGCTCAAGGGATTGATTGTCTAAGAAGTATTTTGGCTTGAATAGAATTGGTTTAGCTTGCTTGCTATTGATCTTAGCACTAATAGAAGTTAGTTCTTGTTATGATGTTTTAGCAAAGTGTTAATCACCAAGGGATTGGGTTTATCTTGCTTGATTGTCTATGCCTAGGAGTTAGCATTACTTGCATTGTTGCATTGTTAATGAGTTTGATAACAGCTTAGTCTTGTGTTTGAATCCCCCAAACTCCATAACCACATCTAGGATCCTTGCTTTTATTATCTGAATTTTGAATTTGCCTTAGTCTTTGTTTTATTTGTTTGATCATTATCTAATCATTGCTTTTAATAATCTTGTTTGGTCATTGGTTTATTAGTTTGATAGTTTGAAACAATCTCTTCTATTCCTGCTTGACTTAGAGTTCCTATTGCATTCCTAGTGTATTCATCTTAGACTTATGGATTGATAAAAACCCTTACTACAATGACTAGTGTAAGTTTGGGTGATTGAGATAGCATAAAAGCTTACATCAACGCTTTATGACCATGAAGCTGGTGTCTTTAGATTGACGTTTAAGAAGTCGAGATAAGCCTTCAGTGCAGATCAAATAGAGATAAGGAGAAATATGATCCCCTTGACGGATGCCTCTTGTAGGAATGATTTTGTCGGAAGGGGTTCCGTTGATAAGAACTAAGTAAGAAGATGTGGTTATACATGTCATGATCCATGCTCTCCACTGTTCGCTGAAGCCCATCTGCTGCAGAACAATATTGAGGAAATACCATTCAACACGATCAAAAGCTATAGAGGCATCCAATTTTAAGGCCATGTAATCCTTAGATAATTTTGTGTATGCAAAGAATGCAAAAGCTCATGCGCAATCAACACATTATCTGTGATTAGTCTTTCAGGGATAATAGCCGAGTGATTGTCTGAGATAATGGAGTGCAACCATGGTTTCAAGAGGTTTGTTAAAATCTTCGAGATTATTTTATAAGCCACATTAGTTAGACTAATTGGTATATAGTCTTTAGCCATAGTTGGCGACTGAGTCTTAGGAACTAAGCATAGATGTGTGTGATTAATATCTGGATCTAGATAACTTTCTTCAAAAAAAGTGTCAGACATAAGAACACACATCTTGTTTAATGGCATTCCAATGATGTCGATAGAAGCCTGCAGTCATTCCATCTGGTCCTGGAGACTTGTTCAGATTAATAGAAAAAGCTGCTTTTCGGATTTCTTCATCAGTGATGGGCTTAGTAAGTCCACAATTAATTCTTGCAGTGACTGTGGTAGGTATGCCCTCCAAAATTTCCTGTTTAATATAGCAGCCATTATAAGTATTCTTAAAATATAGTTCAGTTTCCTGTTGCACGTCCTTAGGTTTGGTATAGAGACAACCTGCATCATTTCGAATGTGAAGAATTCTGTTGAATGCCCTCTTTTGCTTCGTTTTAGCGTGAAAATATTGGTATTTTTATTGCCCACCTGAAGCCAGAGGTAACTACTTTTTAATTTCCAATATTCTTCCTCTAACCGATATTAAACCTGTAATTCAATCTTAATACTATTAATTTCATCATAATTTAAAACTGCAGCTTCATGTGCTAAGTGAAACTTTTCTCGTAGCTCCAAATCCTTTTTTGAAAATTCTTGATATTATTTGCTTTCCAGCAAGCCATAGCGATACAACATTTTATAATAGCCTTACTGAATCTAATGGGCGTATCAAAAAACACTATTGAGACCATGTTTGACCTATTAATCTTATACTTTGAGATTACCTCTCCATCAGTTATCATACCTGAATAATTTGGATCTATATTTTTGAGAAAGCTTGGTATAAACTATCAATGGTCTGTGATCAGAGTCAATTCATAGAAAAAATTGTGTATAAACAGTAGAAAATATATCTAGCCAATGACAATTAGCCATTGCTCGATCTATTTTGGATTTGATAGTATGAGAATATCTATTTTTAGTCCACGTGAATTTTTCTCCTATCATTTTTATATCATATAAACCACAAGCAAAGAGCATATTACAAAATAGAAAGTAGAAATCTTTTAACTTGGTAGGACCTCCTTTTTTCTCATTGTTAGCTTGAATATCATTAAAATCACTCAGCACCAATCTTAATTTATCTTGGTATGATTATCCTAGTTCAGTTGAAGAGATCATATGTCAATATTTTTTAACTGAGTTTCCATATATATAGATATAACAAAACATATTTGCACCTTCCAAAATATACATATTCATGCTATTAAAAGGCAGGAGTAGCGAAAAACTTTACAAAGATACTGTAAGAATAAACCCTTTGAAAAAAAAAAAAAAAAAAAAAAAAACTATAAGAATAAAAACAACCAACAGTTATGGCCTTAAATCTCGGCGAAAAACGGCGAGGAGTTTATAAAATGGCAGAAATCTAAAATACTGTAATAAATAAGGCTTATGTAGCAATAATACAAAAATAAGTATATATTTGTTGCTTGTCGTTTCTAAACACGTAAACGACAAGTAGTTTCCTTTAGAAATAGAATTATCATCATATCCAGATTTCGAGGAGAAGAAGAAGAAGACGACGACGAGGGAGAATCTCATCAAACATGACGGGTCATAACGCGATCGAGGTGACGAAGACGGTGCTGGAAGTAGCGGACGTGGCGTGGACCGCCGTGGAAACTTATCACCACCACCATCACCATCATAGCGACGACGGCGAGAATCACGAGTCAACCGATTCGATCACCGATCCACGGGATCGAGAATTAGAAGCACTTCGAGGAGAGAATCGCCGTCTGAGGACTTTGCTTGAAGCGAATCTTAAGCTCTTTGAAACTCTCGCTGAATCCGCTGCGTTATCACACGATTGCCCTAAAGACGTAAGCATAACGAAATTGATTTCTACTTTTTCGATTTTTTGGGGGATTTTTCTAATAAATTCGTTGAAATTACAAACCAGCTCTATGCAAGGATTGTATCAATGGTTACTTCGAGAGATTTCTTGGCTAGATTAGAAAGTCTAAGACAAGCTTTATCTAATGGAACTCAAAACCAATTTCCTTTCGAGAAACCCACAGGTATATTCTGATTTCTGCTGATCTTAAGTTTGCTTTATTAGTTAGTGAAGCGAATCATGTGTTCTTGGATCGTTGATTTTGAATATCTCTGTACATACGAAGTTAACTCCAAATTTCTTGGTTTCTTTGTCTAGAAGATGATGTGCAGACTGTTGAAGTTCTTATAGAGATTGATCATCAAGAACCAAGCTGGTGGGTTTTGGTCTCAGATGATATGATCCCTAGCAATGTCGAAGAAAAAAGCGCAATCGATAACGAACATTACATTGTTGTGAATGAGGAACATGTTGTTGATGCAGTTGCACACTTTTTAGCAAAATGCATCATGTCAAATCCCAAAGCTAAGGTATTGTACCCTAGTTTCGTTCTTTGAGCATTTGTTTCAGATTTCGCTTCTTCAGTCACATATTCACTTTGAAATTGCAGATTCTCAACCCTGAAGAGCTTCAAAAGCGTAAGTTTACAATTCAGCTGACATCTCTTTGACTGTGATATATAATCTCTGATTCGCTTTCTTATCGGTTATGCTTTAGTTCTGGTCCAAGAAGTTAGTGCTCTAAGCAAGGTAGGGAAGATAGTTGATATATGGCATGCTGGGAAAATGTTCTACACGTTTTCCACCTGGGGACTTGCTTTTGGAGGGTATGTTTGATTTTCTGGTAATGATCATCTGAGATGTTGAAACATGAATGTTTCGATTGATTTTCTTGGTTTTTTTTTTTTTTTTTTTCTTTCAGGCTATACCAAGCTCGTGGTGCGCTGAAGATGGCTGCTAAGGGTGTTCATATGACTAGCAAGGTTGTTCTTAGGGCTCTGTGAAAGTTATTAAGAGGTCTACAATGCGATGAAAGCAGAGATGATTCTCCACTATCATAGGGTATGTGTTTTTATGCGAGGGAATGACTTTTTTTAAGAAGAATTAATTGCTAAGCAATGTTTGTGTAAATAGTGTTGTAAAAAGCGTTTAATCACAACTGTATTTTAATTTGATTTTAATTCTACATTTGTTCTTTGATTATCGTATATAAATGCATGGACAATGTGTGAATATTGAACAAAGTTTGCTGTTTCTATAGCTCATGTCGATAGTATGTGTCATAGTATCCTACTATCCCTGTATCAAAAACACCTGAAAGATTTTGTACATAGATGATCTCAATTTATGTGAAGACTCGTAGTAACCCGTTAATTAAAACTGCGAGCAACTTTAAATCCTGAAAATACTTCAAATGGCTCGAATTATTAATGTTGTGCTCGTGGATTTGTTGATATCTTTCAACACAAAAATACTTCAAATGACTCGAATTATTAATGTTGTGCTCGTGGATTTGTTGATATCTTTCAACACAAAAGTTCATTAATTTTGGTACCAAAAAAAAAGCCAAGGTTTGCATTTTTAATGCAAAACAAAAGAAATAACATTGCTCTGTAATTTTCTACGATTTTGATGCCAAATTTCGATTACTTTGTAATTTTGGCATAAATTCGAATTATGTAATTTTGACGTCAAGCCCAATTACACGTACCCAACTAAAAAAAGATATGATTCCACGATTTTCTAACTCTAGCATCAGATTATGGTTTTGTTACTTAGAGTAAAATCTTGAATTCACGATTTTGCAGTCTTGGATATTTTGCTATTTCGATACAAATGTTTTAGTTTAGTCAAAATAGACAAGTGGTTTTATAAGATAGGCTTTCGAACGCAAAAACATCCTAATGCAAATGTTACATTGACCAAACAAACAATCAAACAGCACCTACAGCTTTTTTTAACATTGAATACATAAACGAAAAAAAAGAAACATATATAGTTGTTAAGATAAGAAAAGCTTTACAAAATTGAATTTAGTAAAGGCATGAAAAAAAAATATATACAGTATATAGAAATAAAATAAGAGATAAACAAGGCATGAGTGACAATGATGAGTTAGATTCCGAGCATCACGGGTTGCAGAAAAGGCTGACATATAAGAGTAACAGCACCATTACATGACCCTTAATTCGTTTCTATTCTCAAACTTTCCGCCACAGCTAACAACAAATATTATAATACGTACTCTCTTATATGCAGAGCTACATGTAAAAATGTGGGTGCAAGTGCACCCGTAATAATATAAAAATTAAAAAATTTACACTATGTTGTCAATCTGAAATGGCTTATTTGACTATAGTGCATCCATTATTATCTAGAGATCAGAGTTCGATGCCCCCATTATTATTATTTTTGATAAATATTTTATTTATATATGTTATATTGCACCCAGTCAAAAATTGGTCTGGATCCACCCCTGCTTATATGTACACCAATATTTTTTTTTTATAATCCGTGACGTTTTCTCTTCTTTCTTTTAAAATTATATCTTATTATCCAAATGTTGTTTCAAAGTTTTCACGACTATAACTATCGATTATTGTAATCTGGTCATCCTGTTAAAAGAACTGGTAGAAAAGATTATCGGAAATTTGGCTAAAACCACTTGTATTATTCAGGATAATTGACAAGCGCAGTAAAAATAGACGATAAGATCATTATATTTAAAATAGAAGCATTTTTCAACTTTGGATGATTCATAATGAAGAATTCGAATTTCCTCAACAAGAGAGTAATAAGATGTCTCGAACTCCCTAGATTTTGATATAAACCTAGACAACAACTATCATGCTTTTTCAATTTTTTTATGGAACTAGGTTTTCCATTTTGTTTTTAAGCTTTGAATATATAGAGTTAATCATTAATAACTTGAAGAATTTAACATAACATTAATTCTCTTTGAAACGGTCTCATTTACACTCGTACAGTAATTTGTAGGGTTGGGAAAAAATACTCTAACAAAAAAAAAATCATATCAAACCGAAAAAGTATTATAATTTGGTTATGATTTAATAAAAATTTCTATTTAGTTATTACTTTCTTAAAAAGCTTTAGTTTAAGGTTTGGTTTAGTTAAAAACTGTCAAACCAAATGAATTTTTATGTTAGAACTAAATTTTAAATAATTTATACTTTCTTATTTTCTTACTTTTGTTTATGTCCATGCTTTACTATTGGACTTAATTATTTTTATAATTTACTAAATTTTAACTTATAGATTTAAAATATAATATTCACACAAATATATATATATATAAATAATAAAAGTTGTTAATCTTAATTTTCAATCAAAACAAAAAAAAATGTTTATATATTATAGATTAATTATTCTTTTGTGTTTTCAAATACATATAAGTTTATAATTATATTTAGATCTTATGTAATTATAGATTATTATCAGTATTTATATATTATAAGTTTTGTATATTAGAGATTTATAAATAACATGATAATATAAGCAATAATGGCTGAAGACTAAAGATAATGATAAGAAATTGGATTTTTTTTTCTTTGGTTTTTTAAAACTTGGTTTTTATTTGTGATTTAAATTATTTTTTTTATGATTTAGATTCTAGTCTTTCAATTTTTTTGTATGTTTCACTCATATTTATTATTGTTATTTCTGTTCATAGTTTGAATGTATGATTTCGATAAAACAGAACCGAAGTATGATTTTAATTTTTATAAAACTTAAAAATCAAAAATCGAAAAAAGCCTAACTATACCAAACCAAAATATGTATGGTTTTTATATGGTTTAATTTTTTTATAAAATAGATAAATCATAAAACCGGAAAAAATGAATTGAAACCAAACTGGAAACAATACCTATCATCTACATATATTAGAAGAAAGAAATGTTCATCATCCTAGGAGTTAGAAAGTAGTGCTCTTGACATATTTAGTTCAAATTAATTTTCACATTTAATATTCACTAGTTACGTTGGTGGGATTTCCATCAAACCTTCTCTTAAGTTATAAAGTTTTTTAATTCATTTTTTGAATAATTTTACAACTTGATCTATGACAGACAATTTATAAATAAAATTTAGGTTGTCGTTCTGTTTAAATATAATCTATTAAGGTTACACAAATTAAATTAGTTATCCAGTAATTTTATGTCGTTTTCTTTGAAAAATATGACTAAGCATTTTAGTTTTAAGAAACTCATGATCACAAACACATTACTCCATTTATTTTGACATCGTACAAGTTTTAAAATGACCTATAGTTTGTGGTTTATTGCGGAATATGTTAATTTCTTATAGTTAGTAGAAGATATCTAATGCTCATATAGTTATATCCATAATAAAGCTTTCTGTAATTCATAACTGTTATTTCTTTGTTGTTTTTCACTTTGAGGTTTGAAGTTACGATTTAGATTTTTTGCATGGATCGTTTGGTTTTGACTCCATAAAACTTTTAGACCGAGTTTTAATCCTTTGTATGGGATTTGGCCAAATTTTTAGTATGACTGTGTGAGTAATTTGTGAACGAGCCCACAAAGTTTTCGGTGATAGTATGGATTCATGATAAAATAGAAAATTGTCCTTATATAGATAAAGATACATATATGGCGTAAGAAAAGAGTATGAAGCTCAATTCACGAGGACCTCCCAAGTTACATCATGATAATTATATAATTTATATCACGAAACGTACATCAGCACAAATAATTATAGACGTTGACGAACACCAGCTTCCTGGGCTTTGTACGTTACTCGAGTACTTCATTTATAACTACTTAATGTATAGATTTGTTTACTTATGTATGAGCATCTCGAATAAGCACACCTAACATAATTGGAGAAAGCACAAACTTATTAACATATTTAGAAGTTAAAACGCATTAATAAGTCTTGGGTTTCTTACCAAAACACATGCATTGTGTGTTGCGATTTTACATTTATAGAATGCAATTATTTATACAGTATGTGCTTTCTTAGACATTTTGAAAATGTTATAAAATCTAAGAAGGAAAATTTATGTGGTAGGAACAGAGCTGTGTCAGGATAAATGATTCTTTACTGACAAATGAATGAAGAAAGATGCAGAAGCAAATTTATACAATTAAAAAAAAAATCGTTTTACCCTTCACCATGTTCCAAATCTTTTCTTTTCTCCCTTAACCATCTCACAGAGGTCATATTACTATTACTATATTAGTCTTGTTTAATGTTTAGTGATAAGACTGAACATACGTTTTCTTAACCTTATTAACACTTGGATTAAGAGAATATCATAGAAGTCTGCGTGTTTTCATTGGATTTATTATTTGACCATCTCATTGGTCAACAATAACATGTTTGAAATATTACATTATTCGAGTACCCTGTCGTCCTATTTTACATTTAACAACATATGCATCTCTTATCAATGGTTACAATGATATAGTTTTCTATCTTCACGGCTTTTTAAAATCATACGCAAATAGAACTACTTTGAAACATAATGTGGTGTGTTTTTTCCTTAAATCTAAATCTTAAAAAAAAAGTTTTATCATGATGCCCATATTTATACATACATGTAGCCCATCGTTTGTTTGCATCAATTAAGGTTGTTGTCTTATTGAATGTAATCTTGGAGCCATCCGATCTTATATGTGTGTGATTAACTTGTTTAAACACTAGAAATGTGAGGAAAAAACAAACAAAAAATTCCAAAGAAAAAAGACAAGTGTGTGTGAAGATGATAGGGTAGAAGAGGACAAGGGAAGATATGAAAGCAAAATGTGAATGAGGTCATCTGACACATATGAAACCCATAAATTTGAGTACGTATAAAGAAACCAAGTTCAATTTTGGTTGGGAAGAAAATGATAAATAAGATCCTTTTTCTCATTTTATGGACCACTCTATACTAAAGATATGAATTTACGTCTATATATTGGTGTTCATTTATGCTTTGATATTATATCAAACGTCCATATCTATAATTAAGATTTGCATGAATAAGCTTGTGTTTTGATTCACTTTTGATTGGCAAAGTACAACCCTACGGTCGGATTACGAGTTTCGTGTGAAACTAGTGTGGTCTTTTTCAAAGTATTTTTCAATCACAAAATGAATAATTGTAAACGAACTAAGACCTACCTAAAAGATATATCGAGGATAGAGAAACGGTTAAGGAAACACAAGGTGAGATGTAGATTTATGGATGCTTTCCTAAGAGTCGATTAAACGCGTTGTGATTGGTAAACTTTGTGGAATGGTGGAATGGTGAAAAACTTAATTCCGCAAGAATTTTGTCAATCAGAAAAAC